CGGTAACCATACCGGACCGCAAACGTCTATACCCAACGAGTAATAAATCGATTCAAGGGAATCGCTGTTCCCACAGACGGCGCCAACTGTTGAGGTTGAATTTCGCCGCGGTCTAGTACGACACCGTTTCCTGCAAAATAAGGATGGCAAAGTCAAACACCGGTGTGGTGCCGGCCGTTGACCCTCTGACGATCAAGTCAGCAAGGATTCTCGATAGAGAATTTTAATCGTAATTTGCTTAGTAGGAGGTTTTTTTGTGTGTACCTTATCCCCGAGTCGTCTTTGTCTTTATAGTTACTTCCCTTATTCTTGATAAGGGAGTTCCATCGTCCTTAGCCCATGGAGCCTACCTCGTGGAAATCTTATCCTTGATAAGATTTGAACTTATCCCATGACAAATCCTATCCTAGATACGATTTGTCATCATTCTTATCTAATAGAATGGTTATCCTTAATAACGAGATATTATCGTCTGAGAGTTGGAGAAATCTGGTGGCAGGTCAATATTTAATTCCCTTTTTTGTTAAGTCAAGATAGGCTAGGGTTATTTTTCCCTATCAATATGTATGTAGAAACAAAAACAAAAACAAAAAATCAGTATGTAAAACATGAATAAATAAACATAACCAATAGCTAAAAATGCCAATTAAAATTTTAGAATAAAAAAGAGTTTGTTACCTGATGACTGAGGAGACATGTTTCTTAAAACTTTTTCTTGCTAAATGTTAAGGCCTGATACTAACCCTATAAATAAGATAACACCAAAATTGTGAAGAAGAGGTTTCACAATCTCACTCATAACAATTAAAACACCACCATCTAAGTATTATCTGTATCATGTATCAACCCAACCCAACTATACTTTCAGTCAAAATGTTGGACACCTATCCATAAAAAAAGGTGTGATTACGGATAGGTGTGATTAGCACATATTATACTCAGCTCTTATGTTAAATTAATCCAATAACAAAGTACAATGCATCAGTTTAGGAATAATCTTCAAAATTAACAAATCAATATCCTGATATTCTACATTCTAGTAACAAAACAAAATCAAAAACCAAAATTTGAAAATAAAAATATGGCAAAAAGATTGAATATATCCTTCGTGCATTACACATATTATATTTCTATGTGAAACAAAACATCTAGGATTTCTCAACAGGGTGGGCTAGAACAAAATATATCAACCAAAGTCTACTGTTGTTTAATTCAATTTTAGTTAACTAACTATGTTTCTTTAGACAATTGACTGATTAAGGCATAAAAAATCCTTGGGTAATTAATAAAAAAAAAATTACCAATTTATTTCTGAACAATTCACCACTCGGTACCCCATCTCTTCTTTTGACCAATTTACTAATCCTATTTGAGAATCTACTAGTGGAAGCAGAGTGTGAGGTAGTTCACGGCAAGCCCCTTCCAATACTATGGAATTCACTCAAAAGCATGCTTTTTGTAAGTAGGGTAAAGTGCAATAAACCCCCTTCAACTATACCCTAAGTGCAACTAACCCCCCTCAACAACAAATAACCCCCCTCAACTATGGTCTTGGTGTAGTCTTAGGACAGAGAGTGTTCTTCAGGTCATTTCTAGCTATCGAAAATTTGAAAAGTCTAATTTACCCCCCATAAAACAGTGCCACATCACAGTGAGGAAAATAGAATACATGGAGGACACGTGTCAGCAGCCTATTGGCTGATGACTTTATTATTATTTTTTCTTTTCTTTTCTTTATCCTCAACTGGGTCACTTCTTAATATCCTCTCTCTCTCTAACTTGTCCCTGTCCAAGCCGCCAATTTAAAAACCCCCAAATTGAAAAGGCGACGACGAAACCAGCAATTGACAGAACGGCGGGCAAGGCGATGACGAGCTTGGCTGTGGCGGCTTAATGGAGACAGGCTGGCTATGACAGCGAGGTGGAGATGGGCTTACTGTGACGGTGAGGTGGAGACGGCCTGGCTGTGATGGCGAGGCAGGTGAAGGGCTCGGCTGACTCAGCCATAAACGACTCGCGGTGGCGAGCTTGGCAGGATTGAACGACGGCCGAACTCACGGCGAGCGAGAAGGCTTTGGACGGTGGAGAGGATGAAGACAGCCTCGGCGGTTTCGGCTTTAGATGATGTCGGCTGTGTGGATGGCGGGTGGTGCAGTGGTGGTGATGGACCGGCGAGGGCTCAGCCTTGAGGAAGAAATGCGGCGGTGGTTAGGTTTTGCAAATCAATTCTTTACGATTGGGTTTGCTTGTGATTGGGGTTAAAATTTGCGATTGGGTTTGCTTGTGATTGGGGTTGAGAATCAGTTCTGTTATTGTTGAAATCGAATTTCTCATCTTCCAGATGAAAACTTGCCATGAATATGGACGGGCATGTGCACACGATCTATATATATATATATATATATATATATATATATAGAGAGAGAGAGAGAGAGAGAGAGAAAGAGGTTCCATTAAACAAAATTAAATGATGTATACTTATATAGACAACTACAGAGGAACTCATTCTCTGTAAAACATACAATATATATACATATTTAGGTAGATAGAGATATACTCCACAGATCGATGAGGAAGGAGGACAAAATGTTAGGGCTTGTTTGGATACTAGTTGGGTCCAAATGTATTTAAAGGGTATTATGGTCTTTTACATTCCATAAGGGCTCTATGGTCATTTAGAGAAATATGGGCTATCACGTGCCAACCATATGTTAGAAATCTATCAACCGGTTACCGGATTAAGTAAAGTGCAACCAAACAACATACTTCAAGGGAGTTTTATGCTACTTTAGAAATTTAAGGGGGTTTTTTGCTCATTAGAGTATAATTGAGGGGGGTTTATTGCACTTTACCCTTGTAAGTATTTTAATTTTCAAGAAGTAACTTTAGAGCTTTACCTTATATTAACTATTCTTGCTTGTCAAAGTTCTTGTTATGATTTTTTTTATTTTTTTTTTTATTTTTTTTTTTTTTTTTTTAGTTCTGAAAAGATTTCCATCTTCAAAAAGCTTGGCATGTTGTTAAAAATTGTTTCAGATTCAATCTCTGCAAATTTTTAATCCACTTCAGATTTTCTTTTTTTTTTTTTTACTTTTTTCATGCCCAGATTCAAATTTTCTTGTAAGACATAATTGACACACGAAAAAAAAAAATAGTAGTTATAGAAATATAAAATATATTTGTTTTGCTGAAATAGAATGTAGATTATGGTGATTACCTCAAAATGCAATGCAAATTTTGTTACTTTATATTGTAAAAAAATACTAGTATATATTTATTTTAAAAGATCATAAAAAATTTCACAAACTAGGATTTAATTTGCAAAACAAGAATTACAGACCTTGATTAGTAGATCTAGAAATAAAAATTAAAATAAAACCCATATATACAAGTTAGCAGTTGCAGAGAGAGGAAGGGCAAGCTTGAGAGTTGAGAGAGAACGGCTGAAGCTTGCGAACGGCGAACCGAACTGGAACAGCGGGCGATGGAAATTGAAAGATATGGGTTTTGATTTTTGGAACAATCTGAAATGATATGTCGGTATGGGTTTTGAACTTTTGATTCTTGCAGACAGATAGATGAACTGCAATATATGGATTTTGAACTTCTGATTCTTGTAGATTTTGTAGTTTGCATTTGCACAGAGAGAGAGAGAGAGAGAGAGAGAGAGGGCAAGTTCAGAGTTGAGAACGAGAATAGTGATGGAGGCGATTGGGGAGGCTGAAATGATTTGCCCTAAAAATATTTTTTTTTCTGGTGGCCTATCATCCACGGGCCTTTGGATTAAAATTTTATCAGTGGTTGTAGAGGCTTGTTTATGTATGACGGGGAACGATCCACATTCGAAAAGTTTGAATGATAGCTTTTGGATTAGAAAGTAATCAACGGTTGTAAAGGCTTGTTTAGGTATGACGCGGATCCGTATCAGTTTAAGGAATTTTACAGCAGCTATTGGGCTGGAGTCTTCTCCATTCTTTGGGTCTACATCCGCCCTTGGATGGACGGTTGAATAGGTCTCTGCCTTCTTCTATGTTTGTTTGGGCAAATTCCTTATTGGGCCTCTTCCTTTGCAAATTCTCTCTATTTTATAAATAAATTTGTTTTTCCTTTAAAAATAATTTTATATATATATATATATATATATATATATATATATATATCATACGGAGTATATTTTTAGCGGAAGCAAAACCTACCATAAAAAAGAGGAATTGGTTACAATTCACACGAAACTGAAAGCCTACCCACATGAAAGGTGTTAATTTCATAACCGAAATGGAACCACAAAGATCCCAAATTATTAGACATCAATTATAATTTATAGTCTGAAATCAGTTTATTTTATTTTTATTTAATAACTAACTAATTCAGATTGTCAAATCCACCAACAATAAGAAGGAATAAAATAAAAAGAAGCAAAGAAAAATACATTTAATTGATTTTTCTTTTCACTTCCATTTTTCAAGTTAACCCACGTATAAAAAAATATATTAAGTTAACCCGCCCAACCTTGCCGACCCGGTTGAACCTGCTAAAACCAACTATAATCCTTGCAAGAGTGTAGCCGAAGAAACCTTCACTCCTTTTTCTTCCTCAGGGCTTCAGAGCATTTCTTCCCATATTCATTGCATTCCTCTGTATATCTTTGCTGCAAAGAGGTATGACTTATATAAATTATGTCAATTAATTCAATCTCAGTATAAACTACTGTCGATTTTTATCAATGGTTCGATCAGAGTTTATTTTTGATCGACTCTTTAGTTGAAAATTTGTTTATTCATGTGATTAGTTGTAGAGAAAATAGTGGAATTTAAAGCAAAATAGATTTTGAAACCGAGAACTTCATTTGAGCTAAGATTTTGAAATTTTAAATGACACTATTGTTTTTTTTTTTTAATTGATAAATATTATTTATTAGCCAAATAAAATACAGGTCTTGAACTTTACCTAAATGGTTGAAATACAATTAGACCTCTACTATTGTTATTGTCAATGAGAAATATAGCGTATGACTTAATTACACATAACAAAAAATAAGATAATTAATAACATCTCGGAATTCCAATTTAATTACACAAAATAGATATTCCATAACCTCCCAAAATCGCATAGTGACGTGGCCGAAACATAGCTCATGGTCAATACAATCTAGATGATTTTTTTTATAATATACATTGAATAGCAATCAGGAATCCAAATTTCCCGTAAATCCTAATAAAACCTTATTTCAAAATTCAACCCACACTAGTATTACTTGCTCTTCTCCCAACCACATACAAATGCATTCTCGTAAATGTGGTTAATTTTCAGGTGATGCTTTTATTAATTTGCATTCTATTTTAAGATTTTAAATGTGGTTATCTGAAACTTTGATCTCATCTGCTTCTGATGGAAAAACTTGCTTGCTTCTTATATTTTGCCCACTCCTCCTTAGTGGTCCCAGGGCAGTGTTATACTAATCCATTGGGGTTGTGCTGGTTAAACACCTGCTCTTTCTTTACGCAAAGAAAGCTGCGCAACCCTTGGCCACGTGCCTTGCAAACCTGTATCAAATGAAATATATGAAGAGAACCCCAACAGATTATCCTCGTATATTTCATTTGGTACAGGTTTGCAAGGTACATGGCCAAGGCTCAAATGTTTGTGGAAGCGGTTTCTGATCCTGAGATCAGAGCAGCTTTCTTTGCGCAAAGAAAGAGCAGGTGTTTAACCAACACAATACCGATGTATCTAAATCCATTGTATAACACTGCCCTAGGACCACTAAGGAGGAGTAACCAGCCATTGTCGCCGGAATGGGTAACAATGGTGTGTGAAACAAAATAAATAGGAATTCGGCCATAATTGCCGGAGTGGGCAAAATATAAGAAGGAATGCTCAATACACTAACTGCTTGTGAGCAAGTAGATGCCACGTATATACCAGCTCTTCCCCAGATGAGATCAAAGTTTCAGATAATCATTCCACACGTAAAATATTAAAATAGAATGCAAATTAATACAAGCCTCACCTGAAACTTTTAAAACTGCTTATGGGATCAAGATCCCCATGACCTCCAGCCAGAGACATGTCATCCCCTGATACAGCTTGGGTTGAGGATATACTAGCAGTCTAGCACTAATCTCCTCATTCGGGTGGATTGCAGAACCTTGGAATCCACTTGTCTCAAAAACAAATCTATACAACCTGAATTGACAAAAATAATAGAGTCAGGGATGGTATACTGAAAATTAGATGGTATACTGAAAATTAACCTGTAGACTGGTACAAAATTTCAAGCCCCATAATTAGCTCAAGCATTTGACATTAAATCAAGCAATGGCCCTTTCTAATTAATATTTTACATCAAATTTAAACTAACTCTCGGGGATCTTGGTATTTTACATCATATTAGTATTCACATCTAAAATAGAAGAATTTAGAAAGACCAAGTCAAAATAATTGACTTCCTTGTGTTGATTAAAATACCTCTGCAATTCATAAATAGAAGATAACACAGCCAATTAAGAACAAGAAACACAGTAGATACACCGGTAAAGATTACAAGATCAAACACAAATTTTTAAGACTACTAATCTCAGATAAACCATTTGTCTAATAGGGAAGACTTTATGATTTTCTCAAAAGGCTTAAAACCCATGAACCCTAGAAATCAGAAGTCTAGGTAAGACTAATGGAAGAAAACCCAATAGGGAAGACTTTATGATTTTCTTAAGGTACGCCTAGATCCGAAACCCATACCCTTTTTCTTCTTTCTGCTGTGTAATTCCCCGCCAAAATGTCATTTACCATACCACACCCACCATTTAAATGGGTTGAGATGAAATACGAGACAGGTTTTGAAATTTTTGAGGTTTTGGTGAGTTTGACGGAGAGAGAGAAAGGACACAACAGAGACATCAAACAGCAGGGAAGAGACAGGACACAACAGAGACATTAAACAGCAGGGAAGAGACGGGACACAACAGAGAACATTAAACAGCTTCTTGACTACTACCTTAGCTGTTGTAGTAGCTCCTTTAATTTAACATAGGGAGGGGGGAAGCTCTACAAGGCAATAGTTTCGGCTCTTTGGAAGCTATGTTATATAGGAATAGAGAGCAGCGACTGCCTTCTAGGTTTGCTTCTGCTATTAGCTCCTTTTACCATCTTCTTTAGGGACTAGGAAGGTATTTAATATAAAGAATTGCGGATTCTAAATAGCCAACCTTTGTGGTTCTAGTGATTCAGTCTTCTGGGGTCGTAGTAGGTACAATTGACCCAGCATTTAGATGGTTCACTGCTGTAAGATTAAGGTGCTCAGAGAAAAGAGTTTAAGAGCTATAAAACTGACTTGAATACAGAGAATTACTGAATCGAAAGGTTAGTAGGGTGGAGAGAGAGCTCCTTATCTTTACGAGTTCGGGGCCAAAAATGCAAAAAACTTGTTCATAAAACTACGAATCTAATTCTGAACTTGTTTATAAGAACTCAGATTATGATTGTTACGGCCAACAAATTAATTACTTAATAAGCACGTTGAGGTCATTTGGGCACTACTACAAGGTGTTAAAAAGCAAAATTATAAGACAGCATGGATTGCAAAAAATCATATTATTCCCTAATCTAAAAACACTTGAAATTTTTCAAGGAAATACAAGTTATTACTAGCAGCAAAAACTAAATAGCCTTCCATACATATGAACAGGGCACTTAGCAAGTCCATTTCAATGAGTTCATAGTAAGAAACACAAATCAAAAGCATTTTAGAAAATAAATAATCCACGGAAAATATATGTAACAGCCAACCAACAAAATTAATTGACAAGGAAAAAAAAATTGATATTATTGAACTACAAGATAAACAAAGATAAAAAAAGGCAAATCAATAATCATGAAACTGAATGAACAACCAAGTTCCTGCCATTTGACAAAAATGACAATAAAAAGCTTCAAATTATTTAATCATTCATTATGAGTAATACAATAGATCAAAAAACAAATAGATTAACACAATATGAATTCATTATGAAAAAAAGTCCAATGACCAATTTCCAGTTTGGGTTTCTTTATATTTCCCCTCATATACAAATATAAAAGAAAATTTGAATGAACAATTAGCTCACCGAAATAAATGGTCAAAGACTAAACAAGAGACCAAGCAATTCAACCAAAAAAAAAAACACAAAATCAACCATAAATTATTTTTAAAAAAAAAAATTATTCTTACTTGAGTCGCTGCAATACTAGAACTATTTGCTCCCAGCCCACCTACTCTTTACTCTATGGCAGCATTCCAAGCCTTCTAGTTTCCTCCGCGCTACTCTACCACCTCCCAAATCTCCGATAACAAAGATGACTCATTATACCTACCCATGTCATTTGGACTAATGCCAAAGAAGGAAACCAAAGGGCTGTGTGTGTATTTCTGCAGAGAATAAGTCTATCAACCACAACATGCCTGATCTTCACTAGATCATTAATAGTAAAGATAACTTCTAGCTAGGCTGTCAGTACCTCAATACAGATTGAGGGAAATTACTCAGCACAGTAAGTAGATCAAAACAAATTCCAGAGCTAAAGATCTGACAAAACCAATCAATACTTCTCTCCTCCAAACCATCTTATCTTTCTTCTCTCTAGCTTCTCTTTAGATCCCAAAAGCTCATCTTCCATTATACCCACCTACCATTGGCATCATCAACATGAGACCCATCAACAACTCTCTTCAAATCCAAAATTCATATCTTCGAGAACCCTCCCTTCAAACTCATTTTCTCTCTCTCAAAATGGAGTAAAAGCAAGATGAGCTTACCATTGTCTAAATAAAAAATGAAACACAGACAAATTACTCTTTTCCGATCCTACTCATGCCAAATAGTTTCCCACTTTGCAAGAAGCAACCTATATTAGAAGCACAAAATTTAAGCGTGTCAAGAAACTTCTGGAAATTTTGAAAAGTTGACTTAAATATATACAAGCATTTTATTCACGTCTTACAAAAAAAAAAAAATTTAAATTAAAATTATTTGAATTCACTATAACAATATAATAACAAAAAGTAGAAGAATTTGAAGCTACAAGATTTAAATCAACTAATGATTGCTGAAGAAAGCATACAAAACATGAGTAACATAAAACATTTTTTTTTTTTTAAATAAGTATGAGTAACATAAAATATCAGCAAAGATTTAAAAGAAGAAGAATCAGAGGAATTAGCTGCTACCTGATTATTGATGGGACATGTCTGTCCCTTAAAAATGCCGCAACAGCAAACCTAATAGCAGATTGTAGAAGTGTAATGGGTTTCACTCAACTTTCTCTTCTCTCTCTCTGATCTATACATTATAAAAATATCGCCACGAAAATTTTGGATTACTGAACAAAATATATAACTATGAAACCTTAAAAAAATACAAAGAAAAAATTAGAATATAGCAAGGAAGAGTCAAAGACACACAACCTCTATAATTTCAGATTAAAAAATAAGAAAAGGAAAAAAATTAAAATAACACGTGCTAATAACATCAACAACAAAAATAGTAACCAAAAAATAAATTAACATAACAATCTAAACAAAGAGAGAAAAGATAGAGACAGAGAGAAAGATCTATACTAACTCAGATCTGATGAATAGTTCGGCTGTTCCAGATCGGCTGAAGCTTGCGAACGGCGAACCCGAACAGGAACAGCGGGCGATGGAAACTGAAAGATATGGGTTTTGATTTTCTGAACAATCTGAAATGATATGCCGATATGGGTTTTGATATGGGTAATAGGTTTTGAACTTTTGATTCTTGCAGACAGATGGAGGTTGGGGAGGCTGAAATGATTTGCCCTAAAAATATTTTGTTTTTGAGGGCCCATCAACTTTGAGGCCCTGGGCCACTGCCTTGGTCTTCTTGGGTCAGGGTCGGCTCTCGACTCATTCGGCTTGGCTCTTTATTTTAATATGATAGCTGAGTTGACTTGGAACCAATATCATTAATAAATTTTTTTTTAGTTGGTCTAAAATTCATCTATAATTTTTTCTTTTATTATGAACTCAAGCTCACTAAAATCTACCCCTTCATTCACTTCTCTAAGGGAGGCTGTGAGTTAGACACTTGGAGGCCTTAGAAGTCCTTTTACCTATCAAAATTTGGGAATGAGATGTGATTGTATTATTTTACGCTATCAAACATAAATTAGTTAATATAAGTATATTAAATATAAAATGAGTAACGGTTCGGTTTGGTCCGACTCTAAAAGACTTAGAATCGAAACCAAACCAGAATAAAACAATTCTTTAATTTTAGAATCAGAATCGCGAGAACCGGAACCGAAACCGAAATCCTTGTTCGGTTCAATTATCTGGTTTCATGGTTTTTTTTTACACCCCAGTGTCGTTGCATGTGGTTGTCCAACATTTAACATTGCGATATTTTCTGAATAAATTTGAATAAAAAATTTAGGGCATTTAAGACATTTGAAATCTCAGAGTGTTTTTGTTAAAATATGCGTGGACCATCCAATTTTTTTAAAAATGACACATCTAATTCTAATTTTAAAAATTAATAATTACTTTTTTCAAATACCACAATTATTCTTTTTTAATTATTGTAAATTCTTTCTGTCTCTTTTTCTTAATTATATTTTATGGCTTTTTGTTAAATCCATTTTTTCTCTTGCTTGCTACCTCTCTAACTTTTGTTCATGTTTTTGCATTCACAAGAAAGCAAAAACATGATTTTGTTTTTTTGATTAAAAATAAAAAGTGGAAATTTATTAACATTTGTTGTTACCATAATTTTGAAAACTGCAAACAATAACAGTGTTTAATAATATATATTTGTCACAAGATAAGTTGCACACAATATTTCAAATTTTTATTTTTATTTTATTTTAAAAAATTTAGTAGTACCAAAAAATCTTAAAATATATATGCAATTCAATTATTTCACAAATATTAAAAATATTCAATATATGATAATAAAATACAATATCTAATTTAAAATAATAAATTATAATAATACCCAATGCATAATACAAAATAAGATATATAAGGACATAAACTCTATAAAATATATATATAATATAAAATATATTTAACATATATGAAATTATAATAAATAAAAAATATTAAATTATATATCTTATAATTTAGTATCTACATATAATATAATAAAGATATGGTATATTATAATATAAAAAATATATTGCATAATAATTTAATAAGAGTATATAAAATAAATATAAATTATAAAATCAATTATAAATTTTTTATGCCCAAAAAAATGTTATATTAAAAATATATTTTTACTAAAAAAAAATAACGGACACTAATGTATAATATAATTATATATTAAAATTTAATTTTTATTAGCATTTAATATGTAGCATTAGTGTATAACATGATTTTATTTGAAATGAACATTGCATGTGTAATACCCCGTATTTTATTAAAGAGTTTAGTTTATTTAAATTTAATTATGTGTGGATTTCTTTACCTATTATTGTGCATGCTACATTATTATATTAAGTTCATTTAATGGTGCATGTAAATTAATTGTGTATGTTAAAATAGTAAATTTATTCATTTAATTGTGCATGTATTATTATAATTAATTTTATTTGTTGATTATGTTTAATTAAGCAATATTAGTTAATTATAGTATTATATTTATGTTATAAAGTATTATGATGATATAATATATTCTTATGTAATAATAATAATTATTATTATAATAGTTTATTAATAATAATAATAATATAATAATATTAATTATAATAGTTTAATAATAATAATAATAATAATAATAGTTATAATAATAATAATAGTATTAAATCAATGTAATGATGAAGAAATTAAATATTAGAATAGAATTTCATTTACTATGGTAGAATGGTAGATCAAATAACTTGACTATGATTTGCATTGCCTTAAAGCCATATAGGTGGGAATGTTGAAAGTTAATGAAAATTTAGATATTTGTATTATATATACTATATAAGTTGTATATATATATTAGTTAGCCATCTTACCCTTAAGGCAACTCACTTAAGTTAGAAAGCTTAAAAATTTCAGAGAGCTATTTTATAAGAGTGAAAGGAAAAGAGAGAGAGAAAGAAGCTTGAACTGGTGTAGGCGATTTTACCCGACTACGCACAACCGGCGGATTTATTTTAAATCCATAAGGCAAGTTATTATCTATTTTTCCCCTTTGAATTAATAAATTAATTGTTTAGTTTATTTTTATGCATAGAGCCAAGGTTAGGAGGTTAATAAATTATTAATTTTTATCTTATTAAATTAATGAAATTTTAATTATAGGATGGTATATATTTATTTATTATCCTATGAAATTAATAATGGCTGAAAATAATTATATATGGCTTTAGGGATTTTTCTAGAATTTTCTAGAATTTTTCGGGGCTTTTCTGCAATTTCCGGCGATCTTCCGGCGAGTTTTCCGGTCGCCGGCAGTGGGGGAGATGACCGGAGTAATCCGGTGTGATGCGGCGTACTTTAGGTTAGCGTACGCGCGTATCCTGGGCCTTAGATAAAGCTGATTGATCCGGTGCATCGCGGTCCATGTTACCGCGGTACACCCGGATCATTGACCCTTGGATTAGGCGAAATGAGATGAAGTGATCCGGTGTAGCGCGCCTGCAGCAAAGCCCATGCAACCAACGAATCAGGATCCGCCACATCTGCAGGAGCCTTCAACGCGCGCGTGGGAGCGCGTGAGCGCGCGTGGAACTCTCCAGACGCGCGTGGAAGCGCGTGCAAGCGCGTGGGAGAGTAGGGAAGGTTGGGCTGCGCGTGGGGAAGCTTAGGGTGGCGCGTGGGAGCGCGTGAAGGGCCCTGTCAACTGCTGGAAATTACCAGAATACCCCTAGGGCCTGTTTTGTAAATTCCAGAACCTTAAACTTGGATTTTTAGGTACTTTGTTGGGATTTACGGGTTTAACGGGTCACGAAATTATTATTTTAATACCCGGTAATTATTCTTATGACCGATTAATCTTTTCTAAGCATTTATTGGCTCGTTTACAGTACGGATATTAATGTGATTTATTTAATGACATTGTTAAATATAAATAGTGTTATTATCTTAGTAAATGATATCAAACATTACTGTTAAATTAAATAATGCCATGGTTTTAGTCATATAAATTATCCATGATATCTTATGGGATGTTTATACTGCTAAATGATATATAAACCATAATTATTATGCTGTGTGCATTTCAGGAAATAAATGGACTGCTTAATTATGTCACATTTATATTATATGGATGTGTTGCCATATAAAACCATGTGAGCTGGCTAATAAGTTTAGACTCATTTATACCTTATGCATTCGTTGCAATAGACAGATGTGTGGCTGTCGGGGTATGTGGTTTAATATTATTGGCATGTGTTGCCTAATTGACATGCTCAGTATGTTTAGTAATATTATTGGCATCTGTTGCCTAATTTATATGCTCAGTATATTCATCAGTACTTTGAGAGGTGTTATCACTGTGTAGTTCGTTATAGTCTGTGTTGTCAGTACCGTGCACCATGTATAATAGCTGATTTCCCGGGTAGGGAAAGGCGACACTTAACCACCTAGTGTGAGTCTAAGTGATCACCGTTTATTCTGGTTGAGGTCATGTTATACATGGGATAGTTCCCTTAGGATGTATACAAATATAGTACTCATCCGGATATAAATGATTAATTTATTTGATTCTCTGATTTGGGTCATAGTAGAGAGGACTTGCTCGTGGGGTTGACCCACCATTGTTGTTATTTCAGGATACGGTCAAAACCCGTTCCAAGGTTGAGGTTAGCAGTGAGGGACCATCATCCGAACTCATCTACTCTTACGATCCAGTTCAGGGTAGAAGTTTTATGTACTACTTCAGTTTCAGTTTTTATTTACTTTTGACGTCGAACTCTCAGGGTTATTTAGGGATCCTTGACATAGGATTTCCAAGTTGTAATGGAGTACTGTATTAAATAAGGGATGGATGGATGTTGTATTATTTAGTGTTCCTTTCCTGTCTAAATTCTTTTATTATCATCATTTTGTATTCCATGCTTGTATATTGCCAATTGTTTTTTATATCCCTCGTTTTTCATGTATAAGCCTGATCAACTTATGCGTGGAAAATGTGGGGGTGTCACAGTTGGTATCAGAGCATTCCAGGTTCGAGTGTCTTAGGGATCTGTGATTACTATACTTCCGCGTTGTGTATTATGATAATTAGAGCCTAAGTATTAGGGTTCTTTGTATTATTTTAGTCGGTCCATTATAATGTACTGACGTTAGATTTTTCTGAATTTAAAAAAAGGATGTCTCGGCGTGGGACAAGGAATGTGAACCAGCATCGCAGTATTTCCCCAACTCAAAATGAGAATCAGGAATTTTCCCCTTAAGTTGCTGATATCATTGCACGAGCTGTAGCAGCAGGAGTAGCATCTGCTCTACGAAACCAGCAACCTCCTCCGATAGTACGTGTTCCTGAACCAGTGGCGCAACCAATGTCATGGGACAAAACTCCTCACTCGTTTATCAGAGGAAATCCACCAACATTTGCAGGGTCCACAGATGTCTTGTTAGCATATCAGTGGAAACAGGAGAGCGAGCGTCATCTTCGGATGGTAATCTGTACCGAAGTGCAGAAACAGATGCTAGCTACGTTTATGCTTATAGGCAATGCATTGCAGTGGTGGGAGTCTATTACTACTGTCGAAGAGAGGACCAGATTGACTTATGCTGAATTTCATACTCGCTTTGATGACAAGTATTGTAATACCCCGTAATTAATTAAAGAGTTTAGTGTATTTAAATTCAATTATGTGGGGATTCCTGTACCTATT